GCACAAAGTTTGTGATTAGGCAATTAAAATTCCAAATCTCCTGAAACTGTGGTCGGCTAAACTTTAAGCAGCCTCCCTCTATCACCACACGGACGGACGCCTCTGGAAGGTACCACATAGATGACAGAAAGAGTGGTGATGGGTTGTTTTTGTTTGTTTGTTTGTTCTTTTTCAGTGGAAAATGGTTGAATTTTTGTTCTGGGACCAAGTGTGATTGTGTGTGTATGTGTGTGTGTGTGTGTGTGAGAGAGAGAGAGAGAGAGAGAGAGAGAGAAGTCTTTTCAATGCATGTCTTATAGCTTTGGTTCAGTTGTTGGGGGAAGACGTGGAGAAGAGAAGAAAAATCGCATTGCTGCCAACATGTTGGTTTGTGTCAATCCCAGTTCAGTGAAACCTTTCAGGCATATAATTTATCTTTTCTTCGGCCTATGCAGTAAATGCTGCATTTGTTCATGAATTCTTGCCTTGTTTTAATTTTGCTATGCTCTGAATGTGGGGTTTTTTCAGGGCACAAAAATAAGACTGTCGTCCTACAAACACTGAAGATTTTGTGTTCCCCCCGCCCCAGAATGGAACCCATGCCGTTTCTCTCTCCCAAGTTCACAGCTCAAAGGGGTTGTGGCTGGAATGACAATCCAGCAGGGAGCTGCAGTGGAAGGGGGTGGGGTGGGGGTAGGCTGTGTGGGCGGCAGGGGAGGGACATGACAGTGGAGGAGGCTGAGGGCCGAGCATCATTCACCCTAAGGATCCTGAATCAATACATGGATGTCCACTCTGATAGCTCTGCAAAATGTGCTCCCCACCTCAAGAAAGCCACTGCTTGAGAAGCTCTAGTCTCAGGACTTCCTGGATCCGTTATGCTAATTCTCCGTGCGCCTGGTCAGCGTCTCAGACACTCTCCACTCCCCAGCAGAGCACCAAGTGCCGCACAGCAGCTTCCTGACCTGTGTGCCGTGTCTCCCCCTAGGCTGTACGCTCCATGAGGGCTGTCGGTGTGAATCGGTTTCTCACCTCTCTGGCCCCACTCTGATCCAACAGGAAAACATTCAGATGGCTTCCTAAACTGGTGCATTTTGGGAAATGCACATTTGAAGGGACTTTTTTTCCCCTTCAGCTTTTGAGAACAAGTTCTCTGCACATAAAAATGGGGAAACCACAGAATTGGTGATAGTGCCCAAACAAGTCCCAGCTGCCCTGAGTCCATTTCAATGTCTGGTGACCCCATGTGTCTCAGAGTGGGGCTGTGCTCAGAGGGTTTTCTGCAGGTTGATTTGGGGGCATGTGGATCACCAGGTTTTTCTTTGAAGATACTTCTGGGTGCACTCGAACCGGCAAACATTCCCTGTCAGGCACTGTGTCACGCACATACGGCCCTGGCCCAGAGAGCCCCACGTGACAGACGAAAGCAAGCGGTCCCAGGGGGCTTTTGTGACTGTGTTCTGTACAGGAGAAGATGGCCAGGACCCCTTTTCTTCCCCTGTGAAGCTGCTGGTGGGCTCGGGCCCCCTTAACCGCGGGCCTCCAGGACTCCTTCCAAGCACACAGCAGCCTTTTCATTAAGTCAAGGACATCTACGGCTTCACTGGCCACAGACGAGGCTGCTTACAATGTGGACGCATGCAATATCAAACCGACCTCAAAC